TCCGTTTCAGAATCACTGACCACAGCCTGGTCGGCTGGTGTGGTGTCTAAAGTAGGGAAAATTCAGTTAATAGCTGTTTTTGTGTTAAAATATGAGGGTGAAAGCCGAAGGCGCAGCATTAATGAAGTAGGCAATGCATTCTGTTGCCTGGAAGATGTGCCTGAGTCAAGTGGTACTGGGGCGGAACTGCGCCCGAGGCATGCATTTATGAAGTGACTTAGCTGCTTCTGACTTATGGCGAGTTTAATGCTGCAGTATCTGTCGCAGATACAAGCACGTCTGTGCAGGCGAGGGCTCAGCATACGAAGCACAAGTGTGGGCGGTGTTTGTGCTGACTGGCTATCAGGAGCAGTGTGTGTTTGCTGATTTCTAGCTACCATGTTAAAGTGCAACGCCTAAATTTGCAATAATTTGACCACGTTGGTTACGTTGTGATGGACTTGCATTCTCTGTCATTGGCGACTTGAAGAGGCACATGGCAGGTTGGTGAAGATGCATTTGGTTTGACTGAAATATGCTGTGACTGGTGTGGTAGCTTTCGCGGTTTGTGAATTTGTGAGATGGGGAGGGTTAGAAGTGGCATAGTCATGTAGATGATGTGAGTTAATAAGAGAAAGAGTCCAGAGAATTGAGCTGTTCATTACGGTCAAACTGATAGATTAATTTATTTGCCACCACGACTAAAAGTTTACTTTAAGGTACGCGACGTCCTTGGAATTACTGCCAGTAAAGAAGTTGTGCTTATTGGCGATTATGTGAGCATGAAGCATGAAAATTCTGAAGACGAGTTCGATTTGGAGGGAACACAGTCCATCTTTTTGGTGCCTGAGGTGATGAGGACGCACTGTTTCATATTTGTTAAGCCGTTAACTCGACAAATAATTAAAATGAATGGGGGAACGAATAACACTAACGCCGACGCCGGAGCTGAACATGATCTACTGCAATAGCGTGGGACAATGTGGGCTTGAAAGAGAGTTGTTGTACTAGGGAGATCACAATCCGCCACTGGTAGCTCCGTTTTCAAACCTTAAGTTTATATGAAACCATCGGCAAGGAATAACACTGAAACCCGTTCCTATTTAGAACACGGAACATCTGAGGAAACAGGTTAGAGCAGCACAAGTGCTTATATTTGACCCTTAGAAGATATTTCACTACAAAATTATTACACAGTAAAAATAGGTTAATATTGCTAGATCTGTAGATGTTCAGTCTTCACCTCAAACATTCGTCATTGGTTATTTGAAGAAGATAGCCTAGCTCCATACAATGTTCAGTCTTCGCAATAAGAAATCACGTGATCTGGTCACGGAATAAACTGATGGCGGGCATTATAAATTGTCGAGTAGCGCAAGCATCACTACAACACCCTTGGCTTGGGCAAATACTTACTGGTCGCTGATTTATCCCCAGTATCCGATTCTTCAGTTGTAGGGGCGGCAGTAGCTGTTACGGCGGCAGCTTTCTTGATATCGAGCAAGCGTTTGTACGTAATTAACCAAACCTCTCCTTTGTGGGCGTAGTACTCGAGTTTCGCGGAGAGAGTGACTTTGCGGTCCATAACTTCCGACAGATGAACAGGCGGATCGGCCTTATTGTCACAGATCGCCAGTGCTTCTCGGGTTTTTTTCAGCCAATTCTATACATTTTTATAACAAAAACAGTTGTCTAAAACGTATTAGTACATAAATAAGTTGGCGTAACAGCAGATTCGACTAAACATTTCCTCGTGTTATGAAGGGCCTTGCGGTTTCGAAATTAAAATGGTCATGATCTGGGTTTAAAATACGATTCTGCCTATTTTAAATATGACCCGGACCACATTTGGAGCAGGAAGTAAAGGCGCAAGATTATATGAGTTAATGCAATGAGTTTTTTGTCCCGCCTTTCTTGTGCTATCCGACGAAATTTAACCACAGGCGTGTCCAGCTGTAACAGTATCTATTTTGATGGCGAATGTTTATACCATTCACGACGAGTCATTGCGTGTAGAAGGTAAATTGGAATGGGGGTTGGCCCCCCAAAAGCTGACGACGGCGAGGAGCATCGAAGGCCTTGAAATTTGAGAATATGACACCAAGGAAAGGAACTCGCAAGAATAAAGTTATTGTTGGGTGATACATTATAGTGGGCTTAATTCTGGGCGATGAAAGGGGTTACACGGTAAGCACACATGAACTTACTTGGCTTTCGGTGGTGAGTTTCCTCAAGACATCTACCTCCTCATCGGTGTAAATTGGCAGCCCGACCTTTTTATCGTCTAATGAGCCGCCAACTGACGCATTGAGGTTTTGAACATACTCGGAGGCTGTGATGGCCTTGTCAGCGGTGTTGGCGTACATGAAAAGGGCAATTGTGCGAGCCTTGGCGTTCAAGACTTCCTCAAAGCTATCCAGTGCATTTGGCAATTCTGCGAAGGCCTTTACTCGTCGTAAGAAGGGGTCTATGGCATCACGCAACATGGTCAGACGCTCCTCAACCGCCTACAACAGGCAAAACTACGTAAAGAGAGGCGACAAACACACTAGTCGTTGAAATCTAATTAAAGCAAGACTAAGGTTTCTTGATTGATAGCATAAAACAACAGCTACTGCCTGGGCAGGGGATGAAACATGAGTGTACAAATCCAGTGGACTAACAGGAAACAATGGCAACGTGGCTTACGACTTTGAATGCATGGGGTTAGATCACATGCACAAAAAACCGCACATACGTGTCGAGCAAGCGCACGAGTACACAAAGAGGAGACGGGAGGCATGGTCGTATTGTAAAAATTACTATATGCAGGCAAAATAATGTCACTGCTCCCTAACTCGCCGTACTGAGAGACAAGAGACTTTAGAAAACCTTAACCACATCGAAACTGAGTTTTAAGAGGCATTCAATGCCAATCAGACGATTCAATTAATCTCGACAGTTAGGTGAAAGCCAAAATTAAAGACCTTCACCTAATTAGGCAATTGCTTTCATAAACTACAAACATAATTCATTCAAGCAGTAGTGAAAGGCAAGAAAAATTGAGAGCTTACAATGTGCATCACAAATCCAGATAGACATTATCGTTAGTTATGTTCATTAAATGCACACCCGTCAAACACAGGTGTCTATAAATGGTAAATTACGGTGTCACGTCACCTATGACATCCGTGAAATACGCAAAATCTTGCTAAGCTGCTACAGGTTGACTGAGATCAGCGAAAACACTATTTTCAGAAAAACAATGAGGGTAAAAGTGCGAAGTAATTAACGATGAGAACTTTGACTGACGCAAGGTACTAAAATCTGCTATGTGATCACTCGGCTAAAAACTACAAAAGTATGTTAATTACGAAAATATAAGGTTAACCGAGTAAAGCAAAATAGAAAAATGGAAGGAATATTCGATGTTGATTTAACACCCACATTGTAAGTAAAGTTCTAACCTTTTAATATATTGCATACACTCTTCATCAAAATCAAGCATTAAAATTTGCGCAAAATGAAATATGGGTTTAAGAACCGGCAATAATTTTCAAGACATAATTCGAAATGGCTAGAAGGTTCAAACAAAGCTACCACTTCGTTTTCCGCAGTTTCGGCATGCCACTTCCCTGTCACGGTTACTAGCTGATAATAAGTAGTTTTGATTTTATTGATCGCCATGCCCATTCAGTCCGCTTATTGGTCGAGCACACTCCTGGAGGGCAGCTATCTTGAACCACCCAATTTTTCGAGAAGTTCATTTACTTGTGGGTTATGCTTCTCATTTGTTGATGTTTGCCATTGGCATTGTCGAGTAGTTCTAGACGTATTTGATGAGGAATATGCCTTGACTAAAGTAAGGCGTGCCTTTGCTAGTAAATTAACCAACTGCATAAGCAAGAGCAGGTTACACACCAAACTATTACGGATTGTTATGGACCTTCGACTTGTGCATAAAGAAGTGCGCTAAGTTAGGCTAGGAATTACGAAGAAAAGCTTTAGCACGAGGTAGAACAGACAGACATTTGCTCACACACGGCTTTTACACGATCCACTTATTTTAAGAAAAAGTGACCAGACGGATTTACCGATCGAGGGGCATGATATCCCTCCTCCTCATACCAGTCTGAAATTTCATTGGTTAGCTGACGAAGGGAGTCTAACTCCTCAGAGGTCGTGTGATTGTCAAAGGCATTATCGATGTAGGCAAAGGTCGCGAATATTATTTTCTCCAGGTCGTTTTTGGCACGGTTAAGAAGGTCGCGTTCGTTGTCGGCGTCTTCATATTCTTGCAGACTGAAAGGAAAGTCACCAGAAATTAGACAAAAAAAACTACGGATTAAGATGCTCACACATAATTTCAGGTGGTCAGTAAATCACGTGGATCAAAGGTGGTTCGATGAAAGACACAAGCGCTGAATTTCCAAAGATCTCAGAACATGGAAATAGTGATGAGTTGAACTGCATTCTAATCAGACGAGTAAACGGGGGAAAGAGAAGAGGGTAGAGTGACCTACATGGCCAAAGATGAGCCGATCGACTCCTTTGGGGGGTTAACGTAGTCCAGGATTTTGACATGGAATGGCAACGGATGAAGCATCGTCTAAAATTTCAAAGCAGTTTAAAAGTAGGCAAGTAAAAGCTCACCGGGGCAGACAAAAACAGTAACAACAAAAGCTTGGGTGGAGGTCGGCAAAAAGCGCCGAGTGGTGGTGCATCGGCGCTGTGCAGTGCAGTGTGTCGCAAGGTGCCCGTGTGAAGACGAAGGACTTGGGCAGAAACGATGACAGGGTGGAGGGGGCGTTAACCTTTTTTTGAGGAATTACTGGAGTGTAAGAGCCTGGCTCGGAAAGATTCCTCGGGGGCTCGGTAGATTGCGTCTGTGGAACAACGAGAAAACGCTGAATGAACCCAAAACAATGATAGACTAACGACCAGTGGGGCAGTGGCCTCACCAACCTGGTTGGCTTGTTCCGGGTCTTCTCCGTCAGATGACGACTCGGGCGACTGAGGCGCGGTAATGTTCGTCCTGTCAGGAGCCTTGCCTTCACTCGAGCCGAAGAGATTCGATATACCGTCTGCAAATTCTAAAAGCAATTCGAGACTGAGAAAAGGGGAGAGACGAGTACATATATACACAACTGCAGCTTCCGACGCCGCCAATTTAAGTAAGAGAAGAGCCCGTCATGCGATTGTTGATGAGAGGAATTCGGGACCCGAGAATTCTGCACTTCTCTGCTCGCATAAGCATTCCGCAGTAGACGGTCTAATTTCCAAATCCGGAAGACAGATTACATGAGCATAAAGCGTGTGAAAACGATTGGCGGAAAAGATTGTCACCAAATGACCAGACGTTCTTTGTTTTACGACAAAGGACCTCGAGATAAAACCTAGTCGGACTTGCACGATTTTAACATCGTTTAAAATACCTAACATTGCACGGTAGGGAAGAACAACAGAATGAGAGGAGATTGCTTCAAATATGGAAATGTTACGAGAGGGATTACTGATAGTAAATTGCGGTAAACAAAAACAATTTTATGCAACGTCGAAAACGGGCGACAACAAAAGACAGGTAATAAATGAGGTCATTATTAACACTAATACAATGCCTCAAGTGAAGTCACAAACGAGCATTGAAAACATTCGTATCAATTCTGCTTCTACGCCAGCAAGGTAGTCGAACGACAAAATTCACCCAAAACGCACGCTAACTCATTTCATTAAGCAGGCTTACGCAGATGGTAAAAAACGAGGCCTTTGGGCATTTATGCTGATTTTTTTTCCAGAAAATTACAAGGCATTCTTTCGCAACACGAGGTAGATGCCAACAGAATAAAAAAAGATGGAATTAGATTCGAATGTGGAAGTGGAGCAAAATGTCTACTCATAAATTATGGCCACAATCAATACGAAAGTTGAAATACGAAAGTCCAACTGAACTATGACCATGCTTAAGTTGTAAACACATAAGTTGATAGAACGCGTGAAAGCCCACAAGAAGGTGAACGCTAGCGGCTAAATAATTAAATGCGCAAATTATTTAACTCTAAATAAACGACGCGAGAAACACCCTCCAAAAGTACCATTGTAACACCATAGCACCCACACGAGCACAAATACAGACATAGGCATGTAAATCTAGTTGCGCGTCCGCATCGGTGAATTAGTCGACAACTCAACCCAGGTTTAAGTCTGGCTAATTTGACAACCATTGAGCAGCTGTGGAGCACGCGCGGTGGTGGTGCGGCTCGCAGCAGTGAGTCGCACAAGACAAGCAACACGTTGTAATTATGCCTCTACCGTCTTCTCACTGCGAACCGTTAGATGCTACAGTACGCCATTGTGTCAGTTAAACAAACTACAAGGGATCAAAAACCGTGTGCATTAAAAGTTCCACGATTAGGTGCGCACAAACCTGGGCATGCAACATATTTGACTTACTACGTATCCAGTCAACCTCTGCGGGTGCCATTCAGAAAGTGAGTAAATAACAAAGTCATCAAAAAGAAACAGGCTTAAAGAATATTTCTTGTTTTGGTCGATTGACATTGGTTTAATTGATTTGACCAGAATTTGGACAGAAGGACAGCTACCTCAGCGGCCTAAAACTATGGCACGCGAAAGACGGAGCCTCAGAGAGGAGAGGAGGCAAGAGAGGAGCAGATAATTCACGACTTCTTGTATAAGTATACAGGACTTACTCTTGAGGGTGGAGGCATTATCGTCAGCCTTATCTTCCGGAGACACGTGTGACATGATGAGGTTGACTTCTGAAAGACGGAGAATGCCGCTGGCATCTAATTCGAGATGCGCCTTCACTGCCTGGGGCTTGTAACCTTCCCGGTCAAATTTCTGCATTTCTTCATTAATTCCCGAGATGCTTGCATTCAAGACACCCACAGCTCCGTCAAGGTAGCTAAAAGGGAAGAACGGTCACCATAAAATAAGCCCCGCGCCGCGTTACTGACACAATTTGAGTTAAGTTTATTAACTAACTCTTTCATACTCTCCGAGGGGTCAGCGTAGTGTACATGAAATGTTATATCTTCCTGCAGACGGGGAAACTTTATAGTCCGTTTCTGTGGGAAGGGATTGTTTGCGGGAAAGAGCACACGAGTGACCATTTCACCAACAGCCGTATCTGCATTAGAATCCGATGTAATACGTGGAAAGGTGACCTGAAACCGAGAAGTATCCCAATTAAGTTCTAACAATAAATACCAGATTACTAGCCAATTGTTAGTAGACATTAAACGGAAACGTCGGATCAAAACCCAATTAACAAACAAGCATTCAGAGATTGGGAAAAGCGCAGTTTATCCTATACAAATTCATCGTAAAACATCTCATTAATTGATTAGGAGGAAAAACGTACCGCCATGGGATATCGATTTGATTCGCGCAGAACAAAGCGCTTAACTAGGAAGCCACGTGTGTGGTATGCCGCCTGGTAAATTGCGCCCATCGCCGCGGCTTCGTCGGCGTTCACGCTCTTGCCGAGGGCTTCTCTGAAGGGAAAACACGGATGGTGGTGGTGGTGGTGGTGGTGCCATGAAGAACACTGCATCGGATAAGTATGGCAGAGAGCAATTGCATAGACACAAAATCCCTTAGGACATAAATCAATGCATTGGGCTGGAAGCCTGATTGGGACAGCGTGAAACCATTCTTCCATTCATTATTGTTGAATCAGGCATCACGGTTTCTCGAAAGTAAACCCTTTTGGTTATTAAAAAAGGGTACTCGAGAAACAAAAAAATATCAAACCCATTACGAGATTTAACTAGGAAATGAAACGAACTTAAAATGACACAGCCTTCATGAGAATTCCGCTCCATTAAAAATAGAACATAAAAAACCTACTAGTTAAAGTTATTCGGTAGGAATATAAAAAAGCAAGATAGAGAACCTTGAACAACCTGGGAAGTACAAGCAGTAAAAGTCGGTTGAAACGTCACTTTAGACAAAATGCACGGAGGAAAGACATGGCAGGCTTTGTAAGACATGGGACGTGCAAATCAGGCATACCATAGGTCTAGTTCCTCTGTAGCGATCAGCACGAATTAGCGCTGCCCGCTGAGAGCGAGTGCCAGGCGTTGCTGTTTAAACCGGCACTTTTCCACGCTAAGTATCTGCCCTCTAAGCCACGCAACAAACGCCAATATATCTACTTCGAAGTTGATAACATTGAGTAATCCGAACCTACTCCTCCCAATGCACCTGACTTCAGCTTGTTTACTCAGACAAAACAGCCAAATTTTAGTTGATTAAATGCTGGGAGCAGGATGGATAATTTGTGCATAAAACGCTTAGAGGTGGGAACATCGTCACTAAAAATCAGACTAGAAAACGTAGTAAGGTACCGAAATTTTATTCAGCAGTTAGAAGTTAAATTTTCGGAACACACACTAAAACGTCTTATGACAAAGGTTTCTGGAGTTGCTAAAAGAATGAATTTGTGTTTATGACTAACGCGAAAAGCAAAGGGGCGATGAAAATATACCAGTGGTTGTATTAGAAGCCAAGGAGAGCACATACTTCTTGGTAGCTCGGAGTATTGCTTCCTGGATTGCGGGGATTCGAGAACCACCGCCAAAGACTATCACCTCCTTGATGTTTTCTGCGGGTGTATTAGCGAGTTCAAGTGCCTCGAGGAGTGGTCGCTGAACGCGTTGCACGAGGTCCGCGCATAACTCCTCAAGTTGCTCCCGGGATACCAACAGACGGAGATCGTGGTTTTCGTAAATTTCTTCAACCTAAACACAAGCATTCAAGTTACCACACAATGACTTCAATGCACGTGAAATCAATGCTCTTAATAAAAGCAATTTCGCATGAGGTCAGATTGATGAAGTGACATTACTCAACCGGAATTTACTGTAGGAGAACATAAAAAATATTAAGATTAATCACAGGAATAACATTTACAAGTCGCCAGTGGTTAAAATTCGCTTGGTTCACTTAACTTGGAAACTACGAACAGAGCCAACGCGAAGTAAAGAATGCATTAAAACCAACGAGATTACAAGACAATGTTTAAGTGTTCGCTTTAGAACAAATTATGGGAAAAAGAAGATACAACCGGTAATCTGAGAGAATTGAAAATTACAATGGATTGGATTTCTTTATTAGCGCTGAGGATTTTGAACACACGACTGGCTTCCCGCCTGAATTTGGCGACGGTGCGAGGTGCCGCCGTAATGTCAGCCTTTATATTATGCTGCTCTCTGAAGGCATCCATTAGGTGGGCTTGCAGGCGGTCGACAAAAGCATTGATTCCTAGCGAGGCGTCACTCCTACAATTCGAAAAGAAAAAGCGACAAAGTAATGAGCCTTTTGCCGAGAAAAGGGAGCATTAAGCATAAAATTTTAGAATAGAAACCTACGATTCATGCCAAAAAGGAACGACACAAGAATACCTCACTAAAAGACAAGATTAGTGTGACAGCTCGTGGCATTTTTCGACTGCGTTTTGTACGGGTGATACGAGAGTGTAAGGGATAGTGGCGATGCCAATTGAAACATGAAAGGGCTAGTCTCATTTACAAAGTAGGCGTGAGCGTGAAACGTGCGAACTTGTGAGATGATCGTTTCTGAGAAAAACCATCGACACTGTAACTAGCGGTTAACGAAGCACAAAAACAAAGTGGCCAAGGATAAGGAAATATATTAAAACAAAAGGACAGACAGTAAGATATGGCACCGGGGCTTAGTGACCACGAACAAACAACAAACAGCTGTGAAGGTGCAAATACGAAAAATGCCAGTAAATAAGCTTGTGGCGTTGGGTGTCCCGATAAAGAAAGGAGAGGCAATAATCACGCCGAGAAAATTCGTTGTATTACTTAATGTGAACTAAATTCCTTTTGTTATGGAGCATAACCAAACAGATTAAAAAACAAAACTTACACAGCACTAAGAACAAAGATGTGAGGGTGCTTCCCTGGCAAGTCACCTTTCAATTCGGACATTTGATAAGCTGAAAAGATGACGAATTTAGAAATATGAGTTAGACAGGCAGCTTAAACGAAAACCATTTACATGAATTCTGATTAAAAAAATACGTTGTGACTAAGGTGAAGGGGACAAAAACACAGAGTATGGGTCGCAAAAAAACAACTCGTAGGACAGAAAAGAGGATCCATACGTAGTATGGAGAGTAAAACACGAAAAAATGTTCAAACACGTACTAAACTTTTTGGTTGCTGAGGGAAACTTATTGATCCAGTGGCATAAAAGTCAAGATTAATTAGAGATGCTTACAAACAACAGTAGCAGTAGTTCCTGTCGCCCCGATATCACAGAATAGGTAGACGGGTTTTTGTTCGAGTTGCTTAATCCTTGGACGGATGTAGTCAAGTGCAACTGCAACGTTATCGTCCAGCAGTTGAATAACTTCGATGTTTGCAAGGCTTGCGGACCTCAATAAAGCTCGTCTTTCGGCCTGGGTAAAGTAACTTGGAACGGTGATTACTGCGGTTTTCAGTTCAGAATCTAGATGAGGCAAAAGGAATCTAATTAAAATTCCCGCTACGTTAGCCGGACGAACAGACTTGAAAAAGTTAACACTCAGTCAGAATAAGAAACCACCGAGCTGATTGCACAGAGATACACAGTACCTTTGAATTATATAAGAGAGAGGAAACCTACCGGCAAACGTTTCTGCAGTCTTCTTAACGTACTTTAAGAACATAGCCAGAAGAGTTTCCACAGTAATTTCTCGGCCACTAAAAGGGTTGGTGAGTGACTTAGATCAATGAGGGCATACTTGGTGACGAAAGCAAGCTGGCCAAATTCAGAGCTAAACACCAACTTGTGATATGGGTATCGTTTTCGATAGGAAAGCACTGCCGGGTGTTCAAGAGTTTTTCCAATTATAGAGGGCAATTCCGCAAAGACAACAGTCGGGTCCCGTGTAGTCTTAACGAGAAAGTGCGTTTTTAAATAAGCAAATTCCGAAAGCAGTGAGAGAATAATAGGCCTACCAAAGACACAAAGGCCATTAAAATTGAAAATTATGAGCTACAATTAATGCACTGACTACACAACGAAGGCTTGCACTAAATTCCACTGCAACATATTTTTTATCGTCTGTTCATCTAGGTCTACTTGCATATTCACAAGCATTGAACTTTTCATCTCGTTAGAGTCGCAATAAGTTGACTGCACAAATGTCATCTGAGTCAAACAGACAAAATAGAAATTGGGTAGAAAACGTCCCGATGCCCCAAAAATTTTTCGGCTGCCGAATCAACACTGCTAGAATGATCATGAAAGCTACCAAAACAAGCAAAACGATTATACTTTGGGTTTTTCAACGAACAAATGTCTGAATACTGGTGAAATAACTAGTGAAATGTTCTTATATTTCCACTACATTGCTTGCATCCACACAGTCGACCAGGGAATGGAAACATCATGAGAACACCGGTGTTAGTGTTACCACCTTCTACAAATAATCAAGGTTTATTACCAGTAGGTAATATATTTTGTAGCAAATTTCGACTTTTGCGAGAGGAGAAATCTAATAAGAGTGGTGCAAACGTACATTCGAAAGGTCTGCGTACAACTAGGACGTAAATGACACCATGAACTGATAGGATATGGAGCGACAAGAGAAAAATGAAAGGTGGTGCGGATCCGATTGGTGCATTTCTTACACTAAAAGACACGCTTGGTAAAAGGGACCATGTAAGCCTTCGTGATAATTTGAAGGCCAGAAAGTGCGGGGTGGCAACGATGAGTTAAATTTGTCCTATGCGAATTTCATTGCAATTGTAAAAGAGTGCAAAAGTAGCAATTTAACATTAAACTTATACTAATAAATGTGCAATGAACAAAAGGGACGGGAGAAAGACGCAAACATTGTATCTCATATTTAGTAAAATGTGGAATAGAAACTCGCTTTATTATTCAAAACAACAATAAACACAGAAAAATGTATTGGCTTTAATTGAAAAAAAAAACATTTGTGAGAAACAAACATTTCACGAAAGAAGAGGGCCATGAAAGAAGGCTAAGCGAATGCTAAATGTCAGTAGATTCAATAAATTTAGCAGCTTTCACGTCTGCAAAAAAACTATAATGTCGACTCAACGTGATAGTATAAGGCATGAGTTCTACACTGAACCAAAAACAGATTAATATAAAAAATAAACGATAGCAAAACAAATGCAAACTTATAATGATTAACAGGAGATAGGAGAGCTAAGGAATTATATAAAGGCCTACGTAACAAAACGAGCGAATTCGATCAAACACCATTCGAAAACAAAAATTTTGAGAAAAAACACAAAATAAATACGATCTTAAATAACAGAAAGAGAGCTCACACTTGCCACAGCTCCGTTGCCAAACAAACGATTGCCGTCTTTCAACAAAACTAGAGTAGGAATAGTTCGCTTAGATGAACTGAAAATTATAATTGTTTAAGACTTTACCTATCTAACACGATTTCCATTGGCAGCCCGGGCTAGAATAACAGAAATGAAAAGAAAGAATTAAACGTACCCGAACAACAGCGACTTTGGTGAAATCAGTCCCAAGATCAATTGCCATGGTTGACATACCATTACAAAATGGTAACACAGCACATATTAGAAAAAGTACGGAAAAAGTGATCACACGCATGTTCATGATAAGCACAGACAAATAAATCCACACGTAAACGTATGAATGTGTTAAGCTATTATTGGCTTATTCAAAAAAATGGCGAAAATAAGAAAAATAAAAACATTTTACATTTAATCCGTTTTGAATCATTCCTAAATGGATTATCTATGCATTTATATGCAAAATATGTTCAAATATATCTACTGATATAATTGAGAAAATTATAATTAACTTAAATTGCCAGCCTGATTGAAATCGACATTAAATAATGAAATTATAATAGATGTTGAGTAAAATTTGACAAAAGAAGTCTTTTTTAACACCTTGCTAGGTGCAGATATCACGAGATTGGGTAGTGTGCACTTTTTAATTTCATCTTAGGGAGGTTAATTTATGCATAATAAATAAAAGTTAATAGCAGTAGTATAAATTTTGTAGGGAACAGTGCAGATTCACGTCTATCAAGTCAGTTGTTGCAACTCATTCCCATGTGTATCAAGTATGCGAAACCGTCTGCTCATTCACCTTGTGGGTGTACCTCTCACAGGGTATCCATAACTTGCACATGGCCATTCAGCCATTTGAAATTTACCGGTTCACTCAGACTGTATTGACCAACAACTAGGGTGGACTTCTGGTAAGTGGTTTTATCTCTACCGTCATCTTGTCTTCTTCATTTTTTCGTTTATCAGCATAGCGTAAAAGGGTTACTTCAGTCCAGCGTTCACAGAATGGTTTGAGTCCACATGACAGGGTTATTGTTTGTTAATCTGCCCAAGGCAGTTGCAACTGTGAAGAATGTAGCATATGCAGGCAATAGCATAAGCAGTTTTCACCAAGTTTCATTGGCCTTTCAATTAATGTAAAGGCAGTGCTTGTACCCTCTGACTTCTGCCCAACGAACAATCGCATTTTCCAAAAAAAGGTTTAGCGACAGGTTAACATAGAAAGATGATGCGCATTAGCAGTATTTTAAGGGAGGTATACTCAACGTTTTTAGAAAAAACGTCATGAAACATTCCCAAAGTACCCAAGTTTTGTTTTGTTCGACTCTTCCCGAACATGTTTATTAGATAACATAGTTTAATTGATCCACACCAATTGTGGATTTTTAACGAAAAGGAAAAGTTAAAAGTTTAACAACAACAGGCAAAATCGCATTATTAGACCAAGTAAAAATCCACGTTTCTTTATTGAAATTGAATTTCTTGTTGCAATGGACGTATTTTATAACGCATGCGGGTTCATTCATTCAACATATGCACAACAGGTAACTTTTTAGGCTGCACAGTAGGAATAAAATTATTCATTCTTCAAGGATGCAAAGCTAATTATTGTGATCTCCTCTCGTTTGCGTTAAGAAATGCCTTTAATGTTTTGACTAAAGCTGAGTTTAACGTCATTTTATAGTCCAGATCGGCAAGTAGTAAGGCGAAGACTGGTTTACTAAAGGTCTACACTTCGGTGAGTACTAATGCGCCCCAACCAAAAGAGACGAGATTTCTCATGTAAAATTTGTAACAACATATTCCATGGATTTTAGGAATCGCGTAAAAAATATTTTTTTTAAAAAGCTGGACAATTAACTTTAAAAAAACAAATTAGTCGACAAAACCTTCTGCGAATCAACAGGAAAATGCTGAAGTCACGCTATACAAATGCATCGTGATCGTTTATCCATTCACAATGTCCCAACACATTCGACAAAACACACGAAAATACAGGTAATCAACAATATGCGATGTACTCCCATACAAAGGAATGCTGTCAAACAGTAACAAAGCCCTTGTAACCGCAGAAATTGTTCAATACTATCATGTGGTCTCGATGTTATCGCTTTCACTTGGTACTTAAGTCTTAATTTTGTACTGTTATTCAAGCTTTATTACAAGAAGCCTCTCATAACATGCAAGTCAGCATGACTACACATCTCAACACCAAGTAGATTGGCTGATTTTAGTGTACTGTAGCTTCACTTAGATCTTTGCACCGTAAAATTAAATAAGTTAAGTCTTGTAAATCTGTCACAGGCTTTCAAGAACCCCTAAATATTTGACCATATAGCCAAAATTTTCCTGATCCGACCATTAGGGAGGAAACATCAGTCACACTTCTCCCTACAAATTAAAATTCCATACCCAACTCATGAGAATCAACGCTAACATCTGTCTCGAAAAGAAAGCATCTCTACATACACACTCAAGCATGATTACCATATGAAATTCCATCTAAATTCGAAAAGCATCTCCACAATTCGAAAACTTGAAAATCATTTACAATCACTAAATATAAAGTTTATCAGAAGGGAAGTTATGAATGAAGCCGAGCCACCCTTGCCCTATTATTTCAAAAACCTATTCCATACCACCCTATAGAAGTTAAATGTAATTCGCATGGATATTTCTGAATCACCGACACGATTAAATGTAAATAGTCGAAAACGTATTTATCGCCACCGATAATCACCGAAACCCCACCTTATACCTGCCACTGAAATTAGCGAACTGATTTGCATATGGTAAGCGGATGGCATCTACGCAAGAAAATAATCACAACGTAAAATGAGGTGAAAGGTGACTTGCTACTTTTGTTTATAGATCGGTTTTCTCCTTAAGCATAATTCTTAGGATCATTCCACCAAAACAACCGAACAGCTACTTGATTTTGACACGAGTAAAGTATTAATAAGAAATTAGAAAAATGACCAAAATTCCCACCGTTATGATGTATGTATTCCCACCGTTTCCCCGCCATCTTGGCCAAAAATGCCGGCAATGTTAAAATTCCGCTTGTCAGGTCAAAAGTTATTTGTCAGAAATGTTGTTAGAAGTAGAGCGACAGAATTAGGATACATGCAACATAAAACCACTTCAGAGATTTGTGTAGTTTGGCAAATCGAACAACTTCAACAGGGACCACGTGGACATCGAATTGATAATTTGTGACAATTCTGGGCAAAAACGATTACTTTATGATTCAACCGTGGAGAGTTGAATTTTCATAACACCAACTAACAGTGACATTAAAAAAATCAGAAAACGATTTATGGTAGATACCACTGCTGACCTGAGAGCACAGCCAACTCAGTTCAAGCGTTGACATACACAAGCAGACGAATGAGTTAAATTACACCAGTAGGAAATTCTTTTGTGGATTTAGAACACATTGGTCATACATTGAAAATGTAAATCAAGTTGACGGGGGGAAGTTTGAGGTTTAATACCAGAAGCCAATGCGGGTGCTTGAAAGTAAAAGACAAAGATTTACGGGATTCCAGAATAAGAGAATGGGATCCTTATTCGGTAACAAGTTTCAACAGCACAGTTCCCTTTTCAAACACTACATAGGGTACCTTCTGTCACGCCTTACTCTGAAGCCAAAAACGAGCCCATATATCCTAGGCCTACTTAATATGACAATAACAGCATCTGCGCCCATAAACCACAAGGCTCACCATGTACGCATTCCCTTCCTCACTAGAACTGCTCCTTTTCTGTTTTCAGATGCTTCATTAATTTACCATTGATTGAAATTCCGTAGATTTTCATAGAAATGATCCCGCCTTCCGACCTTATAAGGATAGCAGAAATCAACGAGTGGAAATGCACAGTCAAGTACTTTAATGTATCATGACCTACAAAGTGCCTCTATTGCCATATAGTCAAATATGTCTAAACATACCCCTGCCCTATTATGCAAACGCAGTAGTGATTCAAGAGCATTTCGCTGTTACTGGTTACAAGATTTACATAGCCAGACACTAGGTGTTGACGGAATTGTTACAAAGAACAATTTACCCGACTATGCAACCGATCTTTGAACACTCAAATACGAAAATAAAGTTTTCACGCCGAAGATTCTCATGGGATATAAATTACAAGCAAAAACAAGAAGGCAGAATTTCAGCAACACAATAATCAACCATACGAGTACACAGAACAGTCTTGATGAGATTACCTCATTGTAACCGGAGCAAAAGACTGAGAGACCTCGCCGAAAACATTATCCTAAACACGCGATTTACCGAAAAAATTGACACCTACCATTCTGTCCAAGGAAGCAAGGAAGGGATGAACTTTGTCACAATCCCGTACTTGAGATATGTATCTATTTACGACCTAAAACATTAGGAAGACATTAAGTACGGAAGAACAGAGATGAGAGAAAGCCTTAGGCTAAAGAGCTGAGTGCATTGGGCTCGATTGTGGCATAGTGGTGAAGAAAGCTCCATAAGAAAATCCAAAAGAAGTGACAATAAGAAGGCTGAAACAGATAACTAACACACTGAGAGCGATTTTTCATTGGTTCAATATTAAAAAAAGGGTAAACTTACCTCTGCCGGTTTCCCCGTGTGTACAGAAACAGCAAGCATGTTCAAAAGAGATTCGCTGTGATTCGGATCCTAAAAAGCAGAAATACCAGATATATTTGGACTATATAAAGAAATTTACCTAACCACAGAGCACATTTGACGAGTAAGAGAAGAGTTCTTCATTCAAATTAACCAAGAAAAACTGGTCATTGGGTTATCCCCAAAATGTCAAATAAGGAAACCCTGATAAGAATGCAAAAGTTTGAATTTACAAACCATGACCTAATTGTTGCTGACTCGTGTTTTCTCCCTACCACAATAATGTGTAGAAACACAAACACGGTACACCATCACAGAAGGCTGTTTTTTATTGCAGTAGCGAACTTTCCAGAACAATAGAACTGATGATGGCAGGTAACTTGGAGGATTTGGGGAAGTTAAAAAAATAGGAGTGGTAATAGGTAAATCACTAAGAGACGTACAAGATCAAGAGCCTGGCGAAGGAGGGGCTCAGCCTCTGCATATTTGCCCATGGAAATCAAGGCAACAGCTTGACCATTAAGCAGAAGTGCGGAAGGCTTGTACTTTTCCTGCAGTTCCTGGTAAATGTTGAGGGCCTCGTTTAACTTGTCACCGCCCTAGAAAAAAAGATATGGCTGATCTACTCATCACGTAAGTTTTTGCATTTTGGCGTTCTTGAAGGAAATGTAGGAGCGAATCTGATGTTCTGGACAGGAAGTTATAACGTTGTCCCGTGAGCATGGACCAACTTTAAATTCCAACTAGTAAGGACGGTTCAGTAAATACCGATATGAATTAACAAACCTAGAATTTAATACACAGTTGTAAAAAACAGATTTATAATTTATCAAACGACAGTGGAGAGTTTCGGAGAGAAAATGAGAAATTTTGCGTGATAACGCGAAACATCAAATTTCCAAACACATTTTTTATTGCAACTGGTTTAAGCAAGTTATTTAATGGGTAGGCAGTCCACATTTCAGCAGGCTGGATGCAAAATACATGCATCAAAGCACAAGTTTTTTTTTAAAAATTGAAAGTAGTACATCATCATGGGGCGTTAATCCTGATGTTTCAATTACAAAATGAGTAATTAGTAATTAGATAAGGACAATTAACATACTGAAGCACAAAGTAAGGCTTTTTAATAAAGTACACAAACGATAAATTAGCAAGAAGTGACAGATTGAGCAGCACTAAATGTACCTGAGCTAAACAGAATTCAGCGAAAGCCAGCTGGTATGCCAAGGAGTCTTCGTTCTTATTTTGCATTTTACGAACAATGTTTCCGGCAAGGTCCAATCTATTCAAAATAAGGAGGCAATGGACCGCCATCGCATCACTACAAATAGATACAAAGATGAAGAACGAAAAAGGGCTTATCATGAAGAATAGAATCTTAGTTACAACACCACGGGAATCAAGAAAAGCTCGGTTACTTAGGTGTGATTACGCTAACATATTCACATTCGGGAGAAGTTTATATTAAGAATTTTTTTCAATGAACGAGTTGTGATTAACGTACCATATCAGATTTGAGCCATGATGAAGAACCCTAAGGGCTTTTTCGGGCATCTGCAAACAACATTACCAGTGAAAGAAACGACCTACACCGAGGTTCATAAATATCGCCGATCCGATATATAGAGAAGATGGATCATTCATTGAGACATTCTCAAATGGGACAGAGTTCATTTGTTCTAAAACCTCATCCCTAAAAACAAGCAAGGTAAAAATTAAAAATGTACTGTGGAATGATTCCGGCCTGTTGTTTCGCAAGGAGAAGTACGAGACGATATTCAAGAAGTTCATGTGATTCCACGACTTCATTTATGACAACATTAAATTTCTTCTGTCCAATGTATGCTTGAAATGTAAGAATATCAACTTGACTTTGCAAATCTTG